ATGGTTAGGGAACTTGTTAGGCAAGTATTGGCGTTACCTCTGCCTTATTTCCCTCTGGCCTTGGGGGAGCTGTTCTTTGGAATTAGTGCTGTCTGTAAGAGGAAGTAGGGTTTGCTGAGGACTTTCAGAATGGAAGAGAAGACTGCAGAGTCCTTGTTACTGCTGTTGAAGGACCCTCTGTGAGCTACAGCAGCCACAGGAGTAATGGGCAGCAGACTCCACGGCCCTTCCCTTATTCCTGCCCCTGGTTCACTCTTCCTGCTATCTGTTTCTTTATGTCTTCATGACATGAGTTCCCACCTCTGTATGGTATGTGTTTCCCTGACCCATCATGTTACCGGATCCTTACTCTAGGTCGGTCTCTGCTGCCATCCTTTGAAGTGCATGTCTGGACATGGTTTCAGTGTTTGCACAAGCCTAGACTCACTGTGGTGAGCATGTCTGAGTGTAGCTTAGTGACCTCTCGGAGAGGACTAGCCGTTCTTAGGACCCTGTGAGATCGGGCTGCTGTGGTTTTGAGTCCTTTGGCTTCCTTTCTTGCCTTGTGGTAGCTTCCTTTCATTTCGGTCATCCTCAATAGAGGGGAACTAATGGGACTTCACTATCTTGGACTTCCATCCTTCAAAATTGTGAGCTCATAAACCTTTATCAACTCAAGTACCTAATTTTCAGCAATTTGTCATGGCAACAGAAAGTGAACTAATACAGGGAGTGATCTTTCTGTGGTCCTAGACTCGACGCTGGAAAAACGACAGTTAGGAAGTACCGTCTCCTGGCTGCATCATCTTTTCCACCACTTCACCCTTGGGAACACTTCGAGTCTGGCCCGAATTCTGTTCCTCCGAGTCTGTCTCAGGCATCTCCCAGCCTTTCTTGGATTCTGGTGTGTGCTGAACTTATAATTGTGCTTTTTATCACAAACTTAGAGTATTCTTGAGCATATCTTGATTTTCCTTTCCATTTCTCACTTTATATTTCCTGCCTTGGAGTCATTCTGTCCAAAAGCAGGTTGTTTCAGTGCCCATCTTAATACAGTGTTTAATAGTGATGTTCATTCGTATCAGACAACTCAACAAAATTAAGAGCAGATAAGATCAGTTCGCACTACATAGGCAAATGCCAGCACTTTAGAATCACTTGTAAAATTTCTGAAGTCAGCAAAGTGGGTCTACACACACAGTGTTAGCATTACGGCTCTACGTGCCATAACTCTGCTATTGCTTAAAAGGCACTCAATTAGCTGTGTTTAGTGACTAATATATGATATTTTGTATTTATCTTATATGATAAATAAGTGCCAATATGTAAGAAACAGCTGAATCATAGAAAAAAAATACTGTCATGTCCAGATGATTGTGAGAACCACAGAATCAGGAAGTCAGCTAAGAGGTTGCACCTTCCGTGTAAGACAGGAAAGCTGTGCTCATGAAACCTTAACAGTATGGCTGCTAAACAAGACCTGACCCATGACAACACCAGCTGACATGCCAATGTTGATGAAGGAGATCTCACAAGTCCCCACCCCTAGATGAAAAGCTACAGGTAGGTAATGATTGCTAAGAGAGGAAGAATCGGTGTCCCCGGGATAAGCCCCCTAATTGGTTTATCCAATACCAGGTGTCAGTGCTAAGAACATATATGTAGGAGCAACTATAAATGGACTGAGCAGTTGTATTGATAAATTTATAGGTGTGTGTACATGTAACAGTCATAATTAAAGAAAAGGGCACAGTGCAGATAGTACATGAGAGTAGGAGAGGGGTTTAGAAGTAGGGGGAGGAGACCAGTGGGAGTTAGGAGCAGGACAGGATAGTAAAGAACTGAAGATGACCAAGTGTGGTATGTGCATGTATCAAGTGCTGTAACGAAACCCATTAGTTTGTACAGTTAATAAATGAAAATGAAAAGACTTTATGTGTGCCTTGAGCCCTGTTGTTGAATAGTTCATCTCATTCTCTTAGAGAATAAGTTCTTTTTACAAACCTAGTTCATGATATTTGAGAAGGGGAGGAGTTGAGGGTGAGTAGTGCATTGTTTCAAAGCATCCGGACAGGCTCGTTGGTCATTTCACGGAGAGTGCCTGCTTCTAAGAAGCAGTGTCTGACTGTTAGGGAACACTTCATCTCCAAGTCTGAGAACTTCCCACCACTGCCTCTGTTCTCATCCTGCTGAGGCCACCAGCTGCCCTAGTCCCTAGTCTGCCCTGTGCAGTTAGGAGTAAGTAAGGGCTCGCTTCACCCCTGCTGAGAGACCTCCTGTCCCCTGCATTTCTACAATACACATCGTAATCTGGACTCTGAGTAATTGTGTTCTTCTGTAGATGGACATTTTCTTTTTAATTTTGAAAGATATAAGTTGTTTCTATATTCGTCTATGGAAAGCTAGAGTAAGCTACACATGATTTCTTAATTCTTTTTAGAATCGATCCTGTCCCTAATGAGGCCTCCAGGCATCTTTATTTGGACAGGATGCATTTCTTGTCTTAGTGAAGATAGTATCTGACACTGCTACCTAACTGCCTCAAGCACTGTCTCTTGAGTTCTCCTTGGTTCGCTTTTCCCCTGCGTGTTCTCTTTTACCTCCTCTGCTTCATCTCCTGAATTCTAAGTTGGTCAGTTTTTCTTGCCAGAAAACAGAACAACAAGAAAACCCACTATTCTTTATTTCCATCATACCTTCACAGTTATACAAATATATTATCTCAAATATACTGTAGTATGATTAGTAAGAGTCTTTTAAAATAGATGGGCGAGTGATTTCAAATCAAAACATTTTTGTTAAAGAAGAGCCGGCTCTGTAGGGTAGGGGTAGAAATGACTGTGTTCTTTTTGCTTTTTCGAGACAGGGTTTCTTTATGTAAAGAAAAGACTTTATGTGTGCCTTGAGCTGCCCTGGAATTCACTCTGTAAACCAGGCTGGCCTCGAACTCACAGAGAGCCACCTGCCTCTGCCTCCCGAGTGCTGGGATTAAAGGCCTGTGCTGCCACCGCCGCCGCCACCACCACCACCCCCGGCATTTTTTTTTAATAGCTGTGTTCTTAATCTGGATTTAATGAACAAACAAACAACAAGGAAAACCACTGGCATTTTCAATGAAGTCCGCACTTATATTCTGTGTCTTACTTGTCACGTTAACTTTCTTATGTGTGTATAGTCACCTGTGCTGGGTAGTTTTAACTGACAACTTGACATCACTGAGGCTCACCTGGGAAGAGTCTTAATGGAGGATTATCTGGATCAGGCTGGTCTGCTGGGCATGTCTGTGGGGGTTACCTTGATTGTTCATTGATAGCAGAAGACCCAGCCAGTGGCGGCCCGCACCATCCCCTGGTTTTGATTTCACATAAAAGGAACATAAATATACCACATGGTTCTTGAGCTTTACTTCTGTGAGTTTATTTCATCTTCAGATAATTTATGGCATCAAATCTTAGATTTGTGTTTGAAGTCTTCTTTGAAATGACAACTCATATGTCAATCTGTTGGTTTTTGTTATCTAGTAATTAATTTCAGGTTTATCACTACACAGCTTTAATGGTTATGTGGAAAGTGTTGAGGTATAAGCTCAAAGTGTTGGCATTACTTAAAAATTTTGTGACTTCATTCATGTATTGTCATTTATTTTTAATGAATTTGTTTTTCATTTTTTCTAATTGAGGAACAATGAGTCGTAGAGTTAGACAGAATCCTGAGTTCTGTGACAGGTTAATATTTACCCAAATCTTTTAGATAAAAGTTAATTGAAAGTGATAGAAAATTTGGATAGAAGACAGTCAGAAGAAAACAGTCCTTTAGCAAGTCCTTGCTGGTGCACACTGCCCTCTACAACTGTAACTTCCTTCTGTTTGTCAGAACTGTAAGGCAGTATTCTGTGGTGGGGACAGCAGGAATTCAGGACAGTGCTCATCTCTTTGTGGCAGGAAGGTTAGCCTTTGGAAGGTGGTACAAATGAACAATTCTTTAGAATTCCATTTCCTTTCATTTGAGGTTAACTCTTTTTTTTTTTTTTTTTTGGTTTTTCGAGACAGGGTTTCTCTGTGTAGCTTTGCGCCTGTCCTGGAACTCACTTGGTAGCCCAGGCTGGCCTCGAACTCACAGAGATCCACCTGGCTCTGCCTCCCGAGTGCTGGGATTAAAGGCGTGCGCCACCACCGCCCGGCGAGGTTAACTCTTAATTCCAGCATTTTTCTGTGCTTGATAAATGGGTCAAATATGTATATTTTATTTATTTGGAAGTAGCGTAAGGCAATGAAACTTTACAAGTTTCAGCTACCATTGTGCTCTCCTGATAAGGATGGGCGCTTATGCCACTCAGAAGAGATTACATGAAGTACAATTGGAAGGGAAATTGTATTTACAAAAGATAGGATGGCATGCGTCCCTAATAGGTGCTCAGAATAGGCTATTCACTCACACGTTATGCTGGGTTTTACTAGAAGTAACTTCATTACAGAAAAGACAATCTGATTGAAGGTAAGTTGTTGCCTCTCTATGCTGGTCCAGAGGGTTTGGGTTCAGTTTTCCTGATGAGTTCACAACAGTGTTTAGCGCTGCATCCGTATAAACAGGTAATGTGAAAGTAAGTCTAAAGAGTATATTTTATTGCTTCATGCCTCTACTATTGGATTAGTAGATTTATAGGTACACGTTTTTAAAAAGACGCTGCAATGTGATATGCCGACAGTACCATCAAAGTCAAACACCAGGATCCGCTCTCATCATGCTGTCACAGTAACGTTATTAAAATCCATGGTGACAGGTCAGAAAGATCACTGGCTATCACTTGCCATCTGTGTTTTAATGCGGAGCTAGATCACTTCTGGATAATCTCAGCATCATTGTAGTGTCCGGGCTGCACAAGCATAGCACGCTACATGATTTATTTATTGAGTTTCCTTTTTGGAATGGAGATTATGAGAAGGCCAACAACTGTGACCACAGTGGCTTAGAAGAAACTTAACTTGTGTTTTTTCTTTCTTACTTTCCCCCATTCATTTTAGATTTTGGATTTAGTAAAGGGGACTCATTACCAGGTAGCCTGTCAGAAGTACTTCGAGATGACACATAACGTAAGTAAATTGTTTACATTTATAGATTGATGTGTGTGGTGGTTACTCTGTGTTTTGCTCAGTGCTTTTAGTTGTAGTAGTGAAAGTTACTCTCCATATTTCAACAAAAAAGATTTATTACATGGTATTAAGTAACTTACAAGATTTATAAAAGTGCCAGAGAACTGAGATGGGTCCTGCAGAACCAGAAATATTACGAGGAAGATACATCGTAAAAGGATCTTACCATACTGCACCCACCACTCCCCATCTGGGTTCAAGAACCAAGGCTGTTGAGGTTTTTGGTAAAGAGGCTTTTTGATGTCTGTTGCAACATTGCAAAAGCTGCCATAGAAAATATATAAATAGTCATAGCTGTGAATTTATAGAACTTTGTTTATAGAGCAGGTCACAGTTGACCTATAGGCCTTAGTCTGCCAATCCCTGAACTAGATTAGAACTGGAACCTTGGCCAAACCTGTCCAGATGAACCAGTGGCCTTTGCCATCCTCCATGAAGAAAGTCTGATGTATTTGTGGGTGCCACTTGATAGTAGTTTAATCTGCCTCCCAGGTTTCATATTTTGCATAGTAGAACCGTGGTTTATGTGTGGAATCGGTAATTGCAAGGAAATCAGGGAATTGTGGTGATTATCTTGCTTGTTTCCTTAGCACTGAAAGTCCTAAAGGGTAATTAAGATGAGTGCTGAGCGATTCCATCTGACATAGAAGGGCTTGAAATACACAAAGCAAGACTCACAAACTCAAGAGGCCTGCAGTGATTAGATAAATAACTCAGAAAGGTGAAGTTGGCTGCAGTTGGGAGAAACGCAGTCCAAACTATGGTGTACTGAAGAATGTATGCACTGCTAGAGGCATTCATGTGGACAAAATTGACAGCTCTGTGCAAGCCAACAGAAAACATCTGTAGGACAAAATCAGCCCACTGACCCCTCATTCACAACCACTAATTTGAATGTGGATTCCTAACCTGGGACACACATCTAAGAATGGGCTTTGGGGGGGTCTGTGCACCTCTTAAAATAGTTTGTCGCCGGGCGGTAGTGGCGTACGCCTTTAATCCCAGCACTCGGGAGGCAGAGGCAGGCGGATCTCTGTGAGTTCGAGGCCAGCCTGGTCTACAAAGCGAGTTCCAGGAAAGGAGCAAAGCTACACAGAGAAACCCTGTCTCGAAAAACCAAAAAAAAAAAAAAAAAAATAGTTTGTCACTGAGTACTTATATGCAGTGGATTGTGATATTATCCTGTGTCTCCCCACAAAGATACTGCATTTCTTGAATTCATTATCAGCTACTATGTTAATATTAGGTTGTCAAAAGATGACTTTTAAAATGCTAACTATGTAATTGCTTAATTTCTTTATAAGTGTTCGTAGGGAAATTGTCTTATCAAGAAAGCCTTTGTGGGACCCTTGGTGCGTGTCAGGCATGCCACTAAGTCCATTGACCACATTGGCTCATTTGAGCCCTCCAGCAGGTACTATAGTAAGCTATTCATGAATATAACATAGAGAAGCTGAGCAGCCTGGGCAAGTTGTACTTGGAATGGAACTTAAATTTGAACCTGGGCTAAGTCATCACAGCCTGGTAGCCTAGTCATGTTCTGTGTCTGGTACTAGATTTGGAGGAATGTCAGCTGAGGTGATTCTAGACAGGAAATGTTAAACACTGAGGCACTGTTGAGGTTAGATGATCTACCTCCTAAACGATAGTTTATGTATGGAAAACTGTGAATCCAAGCAACTCACTCAACCTGCCTCAGTTGGCCAAAGGAACACCTCGAGCTAGAGATGGGCCTACCATGAATCCCGTCTTCTACATCTAACTGGAAAATATGACTCTTTATTTTGAAACGACTTATTTTTATAAAATTTGAAGTATTTGTCATAAAAAAAATTAGTAAGCAACAACAAAGTTTCTTTAGTTTGATCATGACAGGACCTACAACAACATCCTGTGACTGGGCTTCTCAGCACCAGCCTTGACTGCCCTGCTCCATGAGGACGTGTGTGATACTGTTCCTGGGAATCACCCAAGATAGGGCACCAACAAGAGACCAGTGTACAGATGCCACCAATTTGGAGAACTAATGAGTTTTAGTGGGGTTGATTACAGGAGCAGGAATGACTTAAAGACATGCACCACCAAAACCCAGCCCCAGCATGGGTGTGCCAGCTCACAAAAGCTGGAAATCCAGAGCATACTGCACAAACTACATGTAGCTCAGCAGGTGAGTGTGCCCTTTCCAGGTGCTTCATTTGGTCTGAACATTTTTAGGTACCTTGACTGGTCTTTACTTCTTCCAGTCAGCTTGGCTTATCTGCCTCTTCCAGGAATCTTAGCTTCTCTGAGAGTTTCTGGTAGAGGAAGGGGGCCGAGTGAATCTGGTCAGTTTCAGGGACTTCCTGAAGCTATCGAATTGTTTACTTCCTGAGTTTAAGGAGCTTCCCTGCAGAATGGAATACTTCACCTCCCTTTTAACATCTGTGTCTTAAGGAGCTTTCCCCTTAGAACATCCTGTTGTGCACCCCCACCTTGCCATCCTTTATCTTACAATCTTCCATCCAACATGGGAGATTTTGACCTCAGAGGAAACTACTACACAACAGGACTGCATTTCTTACTTTGCTGGCTCAGTTTGAGAGTTTTAATTTCACATATGCTCTCAATCATTTGTGATCCTTTTAACTAAAAGGCGTCCAAACTTTCAAAATTTGAGACCCTCTGTCTAATCTTTAATTTTAATAAATAAATCAGGGTTAAAGTTGAGCTGTACTAAGTTATTTTCCCTTCCCCCCTTTTCCATGTTTTTTTTTTTTTTTTTTTTATAGTGTAGCTCAGACTGGCCTCAGAGTCATTATGTAGCCCAAGCATGACCTTGAATTCCTCATTTTCTTGCTTTCACCTTCTGGGATAATAGACAAGCACTGTACCAAGTGAGCCACACCCCAATCTAGTGAATTTTTTTTTTTTTAAGTTTTTCAAAACAGGGTTTCTCTGTGTAGTTTTGGTGCCTGTCCTGGATCTCTCTCTGTGGACCAGGCTGGCCTTGAACTCACATTGATCTGCCTGGCTCTGCCTCCTGAGTGCTGGGATTAAAGGTGTGCACCACCACCACCACCACCACCACCACCACCACCACCACCACCACCCAGAGGTTTACTGGGGAGGGAGACAGGATGGCAGAAAGTGGGTAATAACAATAGATTCCTAGTGTGCTTTTGTGGTAGCCAGCACAACTAGGGCTATGATTTTCCAGTTTCAAACCCAGCCTTAGTTTACTGAAGATGTGTATCTAAGTCCTTTCATCCATGAAAATAGTGTAGCTTAGACTGCATGTAAATATTTGTATTCATTAGATCTATTACTATAGATTTTTAGATATGGATATCTCCACTTACTACTTTTCTAGTGTAAAAGTAGAATCTATTGTTATTACCCACTTTCTGCCGTCCTGTCTCCCTCCCCAGTAAACCTCTGGGTTCATTTTCCTCAGGCCTCTGTGATGAAATTCACTTAAAGCAAGGTTTGAGAATGAACTTGTGAATTGACACCGTTTGCCGCAGCACTGTGATAGCTCCGTATGGCTGTGTGGTGACACCAGCTGCCTCATTACAGGCTGTCATTGCAGAACTTCTTGATCAAAACCTGAATCCCCCATAGGTAAAACAGTATTGCTTCCATTCTTCAGATCTACATTTGCAGTGGCAGAAATAGGAGAAGGTCATGTGGAATGTATTGGTTCCTGCAGTGGGTGTCAAAAGCTGACCTACTGAGAGCTGTCTGCCTCAGTATTTTTAAAGGGCAGTGTTCAAAACAGTTAATTGTTGCTGCACCCCATCATTTGCATTCTTGAATGCTTTGACTGTAAATGGAAACACCAGGCCTTGTGTTAATCTCTAAGTCTTAATTGAAAATGGTTTCTTTAGAAATAGATCCCTTTGAATATTGACTGGAGACTTATTTTCCAAGTAGTTGAGCGTAATTTCTTCCCCATCATCTAAATTGCTACAAAAGTCTTGTGGAAACCCATCACATTTTTCTGAAATCTTACACGGGGTATAGGAAATGCACAAAAGTGTCTTTACTGGTGTGGGATCAGCCTTACAGAGAGCAGTTGACTTCTGGGCTAGAAGCTACGCCCACCGCCATCTCATTTCAAACCCCATCATAGCTTCCCAACTCATGTCTCAGAATCTACACATGCCCCATTCCACTTTTTCCCCCCCTCTTCACACAGCAGGGGGTGATACTTACAGTAATTGAATTTGATTATTTCGTTAAGACCTATCTGTAGATTCCCAATTCTCTGAAGATAAATTTTGAAATTTATAATGTGTCCTATAAAACATTATCATCAGCTATGCTGACCTGGTTCTGATCCTTACCCATTCTCTGAACCTTCCAGGTTAGTATGTTACATGCTTCACCTCTGAAAACCCTCTCCCTAAAGACCCATTCCCAGCTCATGGTACCAAAGGGTAGAGTAGAGCCTTTGGGGGTAGGATCTAGTGGAAGGAGGTGACATCATGGAGACCATGCCCTTGACATGATCATTGCTCTGACATGTTCCCTCTTCGTGATGCACCTTAGCACAGGGACAGGAGCAGCAAACACTGGACAGACCGTGTATTGAAATCTCAGAACTGTGAGCCTGAATAACCTTTCTCCCTTTAGAAACTATTTATCTTGAGTATTTTTTCACAGTAACACAAAAATATGTAAAAATGAAAATGCACCACAGTGATTCCCTCTCCCAGTACCATGTGCAAACATTATTAAAATCAACTACAAAGAAACCTTCACTAATAATAGCAGCCAGTAGAAAGGGGGAAAAGAGGGAATAGGAGATGTGTAAATACAACAATGAAAAGTCCCAACACAGATGTTTCCATCCAGGCAAGGAATCAAAAGTAGATTTGTGTGTTTGTTTTGGTGAGTAATAAAGAAATAGCCACTGGCCCTTGGGAATTGCAAAATGAGGAGTTGGGGTGACTTCCACAAGTTGACTTTAAAGAGTGCTTACTGTCATTTTTGGTCTGTTTTATATTTGTACCTTCTACCTAAACAAACGTCAAGTCTAATTTTCTGAGCAAGATGGAAGACTGCACAACCATATATACTTTCTTCAGAATGAGAGGGAAAGATGGGATTTACCGAGAAGTGCAGTTCAGTCAGAACAAAGTTCATCACACCAACAGGCAGCTTCCAGACCACAAGTTTAGCAGAATGAGGCAGGGCCATGCGTGCCTGAGGGATCTAGCAGGGGCCCTGGTATCAGCCTATCTCAGTGTCCTGGACTCTGCTGTAAATGCTTAGTAAAAGTATTAAAGTGGACGTTCAGAAAAAGTACAGTCCTTAAATATATTAGAGTTAAGATACTTATCTGCCCTTCACTTGCTAACCTTTGCTGTAAAAAGCAAAGAATTGTTGAGTATAGTTTTATGGTTAAATTCATTTCTATCTTTCTTTCATACCTGTAATATACAACCAGTTTCCAGTTTGGGTTTCTTTAAAGTGGAAAAAAAAAAACCCATAATGATAACTTTATTCTTTTGGGAATTCTACATCATTTTTAATTGGCTTACCTTTCTTGACTCTTAGAACATTTGATTTGGATTCCATAGAACCACAACTTTTTTAAAATTCATATTCCATTAGTTTCCCTCCACAGCAACCTGATGTCATAGCACTATTATTATGCCCATTCCATAGCCGAGAAAAGTGAGGCTTAGAAAGGTTACTGTGTTTCCTCTTGCTCACACCTAGTTCTGAGATGTCAGTTTAGTTCAGTTATCTTCTGTAAGGATGGGTGCATTGAACACTTGAACAAACTTGAAGGAAGGTGCAGAAAAGTCCCTCATAGTAAATAAAGAAAATCCTCCCTATATTACTGTTTCCAGGGTTAGATTATTTTTCTAAGAGTTTTTTTAAAAAGGCTTTTTAAGAATCTTTAAAGGGGCTGGAGAGATGGCTCAGCAGTCACAAGCACTGGTGGTTCTTGCAGAGGACCTGGGTTCGGTTCCCAGCTCCATTTGGCATCTCACAACTGCCTGTAACTCCAGTTCGTCGGGATCTGTTGCCCTCTTTTGAGGATGCTTGCATACATGCAGGCAAAACACTCATACACACATTAAAAAAAAAAATCTCTAAAAAATAAAATTTAAAGCCAAGTTTTATAAGACTTTCATCGTCAGTCGATTTGACTTTGCATAAAGCCTCTTAATATAGTTCCAGAGAAATGGAAGTGCTCTAGTCCAAAGGCCAGCATTCGGTTTTGTTTAATTCCATCTGTATGTGGTATTGTGTTACAGAAGGACATTGTGCCGTGCAGTGTGTTGAGCACGTCTCCTCCCCGTTCTCACCTGTGTTCCTCTCGACAGCTCCGTTTTTCCTTTCATCTACATATACACGATTCTAACGCACGTAGAAAATCTGAGGAGAAGCACAAATGAAGGAAAAGGGGATATTGGTCTTTTCAGACTGCCTCTGTTTACTTACTATAATTACCTCCTATTATATCCATTTTCCTGCAGATGACATACTTCATTCATAATGCCTAAAAGTATTCCGTTGTATATATGTACCACGTTTTCTTTATCCATTCCCTGTTTGCTGGATGGCTAGGTTGGTTCCATACTTTCCTATTGTGAATAGTGCTATAGTAAACAGTGGTGTTTAACTATGATATGTTGATTTCAGTAAATATGAGTGATGTAGCTGGAGATGTATTTGAGTTCACATAAATCCAGTTACTAGCTTGATGACCGAGTAAACCATAACCTCTGGAAGCATCAGTTTGCCAATCTATACCTGGAGGGACTTCAATTTAAAGGAGCTGTAGTGTCCTTCAGGCCTCTATTTTCTGTTTATAAAATGTGATGCCTTCTGATTGAAATGTTTAACCTTCTCATGAAACATTCCAAGTTCTTCAGAAATTGGGTGAAATCAGATAAAGAAGTTCACAAATTATGCCATTGTTAATAAAATTATAAATTTATCATAAAATGTTGAGGAAATATTTAAAAGTTAAGCAGCCCCATTGTTAAAATGATAAAGATGTTTTTTTTTCTTGGTGATCTGTGGAATAGTTCTTAAACTTAAATATAAACAACCAGTCACTTAGCACAGTAATATAACTACAATTACTGGTCCAAGGTTTATTAATTAACTGACTAAAGAATCGGGACATCTGGAAGTGCTGACTTAGCAGGAAACGCCCCTTTTTTCTGGCTCATGTTCTACACATTGAGTGTTCATTCTGAGTCGCAGTGACTCCTTTTCTCCCTAGCAGTCCAGAATAATCTACCATAAGATAATATATAGATCTAATCACACCCCTTTCCTCCCTAAGGACTCTTACGATTCCAGTTCCCTCGCATCTAGAGAGTTATGTCTAGACAGACCCTGGCTTTCTGAGATCTCCGAGGTCTGGTCCCTGCCGGTCTTTGTAACCTTGTTTCTTCTAATCTCTTCGGAGCCTTTTGTACCAGGCCATGGGAACTGCAGGCTCCCAGTGCCCTTCCTCTTCCCTCTCCCCTGTGCTGCCGGCTGCTTCCTCCTCCCAGCCTTTGCCCTCTGCACCTTGCCAGCCCAGCTCAAAAGCGCTGCCCCACCAAGCCTTCTTTGATCGGCCAGAGTAATGGACCTTTACCTGTACCCTCACCCTTTCCATTGCTGGAAATGATTTTTCAGCTCATGAGTTCCAAGGCTGTGATTTTCTTTAGCCTTAGTTTTAGTCAAATGCATTCTCATGTTCTGAAAAACTACTGATTATAACGCAGCCATGTATACAATAAGGCATGAAATGTATGATAGGCTGGTTCTGGGCTCAACTCAGTAAATATTTATTAGATACCTATTGTGTACAGGCCAGCTCAAGACAGAGTGAGGTGCTAAAAATGGTAAAAGCCAAAAATAGGCCCACAAACCTGTAGCCTTGGCTACTGATGAGCCCGAAGCAGGAGAATTACAAATGCAAGGCCAGCCAGGCTATAAAGACATAGAGACACTGTCTTTAACAAGTAAATAAATGAATAGTAAGATAGATAAATAAGACATAGCAAAATGGTTTCTGATCTAAAATACCACGTTTTTAAAACCAAGCAAAGCTCAAGCAAAGCGGTGTCTGCTGTTACCTCCAACTGCAGGTGAGAAGGTCAGGGTTTGTGTGAGGCTGTGTGTTCCAGAGAAGTGGTAGTCTAACCCATTAATGGAATGTGAAGACAGTGACTTGAAGATTCCCATTTTAAATCAAAGTTTCCTGTTATATTATGCCACATCTTTTAGGAATCACTGAAGCAAAAGTCTGCAGTTTGCAGGAAGGACTCTTGTATGTGTACACAATTGACCTTGGCCCAAGGACAGTCATTCATGTCCATCTTCATCCTTGGCAGTGTAACCTTGGGCAAGATCCTTAACCTCTCTTTTTCGGTTGTGTTACCTAAAAATCCTGAAAAACATTGACACTAGCTGAGTGCATGGAGGAGAGTGTGTTTATGACATCTGGCGCATAGTGGACAGGAAGTACTTGCTGCTTGTAAGAAAGATGTTTTCATTCACCATCAGTAAATTTTAGGGTCAAAATCTGGGAATAATACTCTTTGCTCCTCTGTTCTCGGTGATACAGAGTAATGAGAAATATGAGATACTACTCGAAGTTCAGTATTTGAGGAAAAGAAGTAGCACTAAGTCACAGTGAAGATTTAAAAAGATTTCCTACAACAGGACAGTTCACAGGATGCCCCAAGTTCACATAGAGAAGTTGCCTTAAGTAAGATTGCTTTTTCAGCCTTTTAATTATACCAAATGAGATTACATATGCCAGACCTAAGCTCTGAAATGCACTGGCACCAGGGACCAGTATCAAATGATCAAAGTTGATTTTAATACCACTTGAAAAGCCTGGCCAGAAATGTGCTAAGCTTTTTGCTTAGGGCTAAGGATGCAGTAACCTGTGTGTCACTAATGGCCATTTTAACACAAAGGCTGGCCCAGGTGTGTTTCCCAAACCCTGTTACTATTGTGCAGGGGCCAGAACCCAGGTTGTACACATGCTGGGGAGGGGCTCTACCACTAAGCTGCATTTCCAGCCAGACCTGTGGAACATACTTTTTATCCTGAGTATTCATCAACAGACATTGAAATGATGTGGATAGTCTTAAAAATGGAGGGTGCAGTTGGTATGTAAAATGAATAAAAAATTTCTTAATAAAGAAAATAAGTTGAGGGTGCATTGGATGTGGAGGGCAGAATTGTTGTCCAGAATGTCACAGAATGGTGCTCAAGTTCTGTGAGCATGGTGTGTGTGGGGGGGGGGAGTAATATGTTTGCCAAGGTGTTTCATCTGTTTTGAGTCATCTGCTTTGTTGAGAGTGGGTAGTTGGCAGGAATTAGAGCCAGCTGCATAGGTTTGGACGGAGCACACACATGTACTAGCTCTGGTGTTTGTGGGACCTTCAGCTGAAGCTCCGCTGGATGAAGTGGGGTAAGTAGGGGGCTGTGTATTCCAGGTGAGGATAGCTGGGTTCCACATCACAGGCGTTCAGCTGTGAGTGAGGGTGGCGACAGCCTTCGAAGCTTTATTTCTAGTGTTGCTGTGTGCTAATATGATTTAAATGTGCTTCCTTGGACAGGTGGATGATTGTGGCTTTTCTTTGAATCATCCGAATCAGTTCTTTCTTGAGAGCCAGCGGATCCTAACTGGTGGCAAAGACGTCAAGAAGGAATCCAGCCAGCCAGAAACACCTCAGTCCAAACCCAGTGTCCAGAAGACCAGGGATGCCTCCTCTGCTCTGGCCTCTCTAAACTCCTCCCTGGAAATGGAGCTGGAGGGACTGGAAGATTACTTTAGTAAATGATGTGGCCACTTCAGTAACTCCCTTCCCCCCAGTGAATACATTCCTGTTTGTAAGGTTTGCCTTTTTAAAGCCTTCCTGCTGAGCAATTTCCTCTACCCACCTGCTTCATGTATACACATTTATTAGCAAAGCAGACTTGCTTCCATATGACATATGAAAGCATAATGAAAAAAGCCAGAGTTCCTATGAAACATTTCATTGAATATTTTGATTTGAATCCTGTTTCAGAGATTTCAAACAGTACTTTGAGACTAAAGTCCTCAAGCAGCAATACAACTAAAACCAACTTTTAAAGTTTCACATGGTATAATTTTGACCCAGTCCTCTTTTGGAGTATTTTTGCTAATAAATATCAACATGAGTATGACTATCTGTGTAACTGGGAGTCTTATTTCACAGCAGATTAGGCATTACTTATTTGAAATGGCATTTGAAATACCTATCACTGTCAGTCAATATGGGGAGCAGAGGAAGCTCCGAGTGAATGTATAAGGAGTGGATGGAGTCCTGAGTGAATGTGTATTGTTGACATGGTCACGGCCATGGGAAGGACACCAGTGTCTGAGACTCATGGGGATGGCAAAGTCTTCCTCCGGTCTGAGTGGGAATGCTGACAGTGTGCAAAAGATCCCAAGCACAGCTTCTTCCTCTGGGGTGTCTGCAGCTCGGGACTGCTATCCTATGGAGGTCACCTCCTGAGATCAGCTGAACTGCCTCCTCACTTCGGAGGTACTGAAACAGTTTCTGGTGGTTGCTGCAGTCAGTGCGCTCCATCAAAGCAAGCCCGGCCTACCCAGTCCCGTGTTCTCTGCCTGTGTGTCTGTGCCCTGCTCTTTCTGCATTCCCTCATCGCCCCATTCAGGTTTCACACATGAAAACTGGGAACATTTCTTTCTTTCTTGGCCTACTTGTTATTCATTAGTAGCAAGGAGAAGTCCCATTCCCATGAGCAGCAGCAGACTCACTGAAATGAACGGCGACTGGAGAGACAGAATTACTGCTGTTATTCGTCAAGGGACCCGCTGTTAAGTAAGTCATGGTGCTCTGCATCTCTATCATTTTCCACCTGCTTCTTACTAAAGCAAGAAGGCTTAAAGTCTAAAGTATGAATTCCAGATGCTTTGGTAGCCAGTATTCCTTTCAGTGCAAGCAGTGGGACTTAGCAAACACTGTGAATGACCACAGACCTGCAGCATCTGTTCCCGATCCTGGCTTACCTCTGGCCAGGAGGTGAGGTGGGTCTGGACAGCCCAGGAGAGCAGTGTTCAGCAGAGCCATCTTCTAATGGCCTGATCCCTTTACTGCGTCTCCACTCACCCAGAGGACCTGGGTCTTTTATATATGAGAATGGATTATTTTCAACTGTGCGAAAAATACGAGTCCATTAATCCATTTCAGTCTTATGGTAAGGGGTTGGGGGGATTGGTCCTTTTTCTTTGTGAATCAGAATCTAAATCAAAAAGACATTGTATTTAGAAAACTGGACTGTTCAGAGCAGCACAGTTTCAATCTTAGGATGTGCTATATCCTTATGAAAGGATTGAAATAGGTACCCATTTGTGGTGGTATTGTGTTCCCCAAAATATTGTGCACCCTAATAAATTTATCTGGGATCAGAGAGCAGACAGCCACTAGATACAAAGGCTAGAAAATGGTGGCACTCACACCTTTAATCCTAGCATTCCAGAGACAGAAATCCCTCGATCTCTGTGAGTTCAAGGCCACATTGGAAACGGCCAGGCATGGTAACACACGCCTTTAATCCCAGGGAGTGATGGCAGACAGCAGAAGGCTATATAAGGCATGAAGACCAGGAACTAGAAACATTTGGCTGGTTAAGCATTTGGCTGGTTAAGCATTCAGGCTTTCAAGCAGCAGTTCAGCTGAGAGCCATTGGGATGAGGACACAGAGGCTTCCAGTCTGAGGAGACAGGATCAGCTGAGGAACTGGCAAGGTGAGGTGGCTGTGGCTTATTCTGTCTCTCTGATCTTCCAGCATTTACCCCAATAACTGGCCTTGGATTTGATTTTATTAATAAGAACTTTTAAGATTCCTGCTACACCCATTGGTACCGTGCTCCATGGAGTTATTTTTAACTGCAGAATTAAATTAGCTTTAGAACATTGAATATCCAAATGTAGGTCTCTTGTAGTGCAGTAAGGGGACATTGGACACAATCTCATCATGTAGTTCAATGAGGAATCTCAAGATCTCTGTAGGTGACAGTGCTGTGTGGGGCCATCTTTTGTTGCTGCCCCATGTCCTTGTTTCACGAGGCAGAAGTCCACGGACAGAATGGTAGATATGTCTTAGTGCCTATTTTTTTTTAATGGCAGCTTAAAACTGTATGTCATCTTAAATGTCTTATATGTTTCTAGTCAAATTTCAGAATAATGCTAGTGTAGACCCTAGTCACAAGTGCAGTGTCTTAGTAAGAAGTTACACAGAAAAATAGGTAAAATTTTGTTAAGTATGCAGATCAAGAGTGCAGAAGTTAGAGGCTTAAACAAAAAGAAATTAATATTTTTCTGCTGCTTTGGGAGGTTGGAAAAAGCAATTCATTTTTTTATGCTTCATGGGTCTCGACAATTTGGATTTGTTTTCTTGAAGGCAGACTTGGTTGAATTGGATGATGTAGGAGAAACCTAAAAGAAAAAAGATCCAAAAGATGGTGGCCTCTTCAAAGAGCAGCTGGTGAAAAAGAATGAGTATTCTAGATCGTCACTGTGAAAAAGAATGAGTATTCGGCGTGGCTCTCGAAGACAAGATGAAACAGCTGGAGAAAAAGAAAGAAGATGGGGCTCTGTCGCTGCAGCGATGGCATTGTTGGAGATGCTACTGGATTTCTTTTTATGTTGCTCAGTACTTTTCATCCTGCCCAGAGGATACAAAGCTCTTAGTTGTCATGCACATAAAAGAACACTAGAAGAGTTTAAGTAAATTTTTTGGGGCTAATTGTAATATTGTGGTCATAAGAAAGAATAGTTACAGAATTTCAATGTGTTGGGAGTGGAAGAAAGCATTTGGGGAAGGTCTTTAATTCATACAGATTTATAGTGAGCTAGGGATCTGTCAAGTCACGCGAGGGTGTTTGCTCACTCTACCCCGCTTCGACACTGATGCTCAGCACCGTCCATGCAAATTTCTGTCCTCCTTTGCCGAGAAGGAAACGTGGGGTTTCAGCTCGGAAGATGAAATGAGACAATGCTAAAGTTTTCTTTGGGTTAGGCTGCAGTTTGCAGATTTAATCAAGGGCTTCTCCCACAGGCATCAGCTTGACATTAAATGTAAGGGCCCATTAAGTGAGAGCTTGACAGCCGCTCTGCTTGTGACGCTGTCTTTGCAGCTGGGAGGGAGAAGATGTCGAGAGGCCTCAAACTGTTGGAACAGCTAGACCCATTTGTTAGCTGCTTTCCTAAAGGTGGCCGAGGATGGGGTGAGAAGGTGGACAGGCTGGCCCTCCCTATGGATTCTGGGGTAAACAGGGGGCTCTGTGTCATGGTGATAAATATCCCAGCTGACAAAAGAGTGAGACTGGGAACCTATTTCAGGGACACAGTTTGGTGTGTCTCATTTTCAACACAGACAGCACCAGGGTGGAAGTTGTGTTTTCAGCAGGTCTGACTTGAAAGGTTTAGTTATTCTGCTCCTGAAAACCCGAAGCATCATTTGGGAGTTGGGCCTCCAGTGCGACATGATTGGCTCAGAGTGTTTTCTCACACAGTAGCCAGCTTATATTCGGTAATCGGTATTTACCCAAAGCGTCTGGCTGCCTTCTCAGTGTTGAGTCCTTTTATGACAGGTCTTTGCCCTCATCTAAGCCTTCTCACCATAATTGGCATTGTAGACAATTAGCTTTGTGACTCTATGGAAATCACGTCACCTGTAGGAAATTATCTTCCCACTTATCTGACCTTCCTGCCAAAGGCAATACCATTTCCTGTGATTAGATTTGCTTTCTATCTGGTAAGCTCTTTTGTCTGTTGCTTCCTGACATTTTATTTTATCCAAGAATTGTCACTGCAGCATCTTATCAACAGCTGAAGAATCTGTCTCCATATAAAGCATCTGCATTTCCCCTGAGCCTACCTTTGCAGTGCTGTGTTTGAACATTGATGACAGGGTAGTGAAATAGTACTGCTAATAAATGCATGCTAGGATTTTCAGTTCAAGGTAATAGAATTATGAAACTCTTTAAGATTTTGCCTTATTTTGTTTTTACTCTGAAAGCATAGAAAGAAAATAAATTCAGCAAACAATGCATTTAAGGCTGTTTGTAATGAGGGAATGAATCAGCACATACTTCCCTGACTGCTTCCCTGCACATGGTATATTTGTTTTTAGTCTCCACATGGGCCATAGAGGGTACTGAGATTGCTTATTTAAAAAGACATTGTGATGTATACTTCTCTTTGATCTTCCCTTTCAACTCATTAAATACTTATTTAATAATCTGGTGCTACTCTTGGCTTTCAATTTTCTATAGAGTTTCTGCCTTGTCCATACGTCACTCTACCAGTCTCCCTGAGTGAATCCATCCACTCCCGTGGTATTACTTCCCATATATGTGCAGATGATTCCCACTTCTTAACCTCCAATGAAATCTCTCCTCTAAGCACAGACCCATCCATCTAAGTACATGTGCTGTGGATATCGTTCTGTATAAATAAAACACTGATTGGTCAGTGGCCAGGCAGGAAGTATAGGTGGGACAAGGAGAGAGGAGAATTCTGGGAAGTGAAAGGCTGAGAGAGGGAGACACTGCCAGCCACCGCCATGACAAGCAGCATGTGAAGATGCCAGTAAGCCATGAGCCACGTGGCAAGGTATAGATTTATAGAAATGGGTTAATTTAAGATATAAGAACAGTTAGCAAGAAGCCTGCCATGGCCATACAGTTTTTAAATAATATAAATGTCTGTGTGTTTATTTTATAAGTGGGCTGTCGGACTGCCGGGGCTCGGCAGGACCCAAAGAGAAGCTCTCCAGCTACATACATGTTGCACGTATTTATTAGATTAGTATATCTCATACTTTATCTAAAATCAAGCCTGTTTTCTTTCTTCCTAAGTCTGCTTCTTTCTCCCTCCCCAGTCACCAGACATCCAAGTCCTCCTGAGATTGTGGTTTAATATCAGAATTGTTTTAATGTCTAAATCATTGGGTCTCACCTGGGGCCACCTTTGCCTTCAGGGTTATTTGGTAATGTTTGAGACATTCTTGGTGCTTACAACTGGCAGGGACCTGGTTCTGTTACTTAGTGGAGGATGGAGGCTAAGGAGACTCCCAAGCATCCTACAAGATACTCCTCCACAACAAAGAAAATGTCTGGCCTAAGACGTTATTGGTCCTATGACTGGGAATCCT